CAGAGTGGGCAGTTCACCCTGGAATGGGCCCCTCCTTGTACTTATCGTTCAGATCTTGTACCCATTGTGCTTCCTCCTGCTGAAGTTGCCTTGCCATTTGGAATCTTGTTCAAGGTCTGTTCCTTGGTTCAGCATGGGTATCTACCGTGGCCGGTTCTGGATTCAAAATTTTTTCGGCTGGTTGACCCGAGAAGAATGGACATGAACGTTGCTTGCATAGAACATGCTTTGGAAAAACTGGGTCGTCTAAAAGATTGCTGTTACCATCCTGTAACTTGGCTTGAGGAGCAGTATCGGCAGTATCTGAGTTCTGACCATAAACCTACAGCTGGCACACTTTCTTTAGATGATGGATTGGTGTATGTGCGTAGGGTTCAAGTAACTCCTTCTAAGATGTATTTCTGTGGTCCAGAAGTGAATGTTTCCAATCGGGTGCTGCGGAACTATCCTGGAGATATTGATAATTTTCTCCGTGTTTCTTTTGTTGACGAGGAACTCGACAAAATTTATTCAACAAATTGGTCTCCACGCAACTCTGCAAATGATGAAAGGCAAAGCAGAATTTATAAGAGGATAGTCTCAACATTGAGAGATGGAATTGTTATTGGTGATAAGAGGTTTGAGTTTCTTGCCTTTTCGACAAGTCAATTAAGGGAAAGTTCTGTTTGGATGTTTGCTTCCAGGGAAGGGCTGACTGCAGCAGATATAAGGGAGTGGATGGGGGATTTTCGTAAGATACGAAATGTGGCAAAATATGCTGCCAGACTCGGTCAGTCCTTCAGTTCATCAACAGAAACTCTTAGCGTCAGGAAAGATGAAGTTGAAAGGATACCAGATGTGGAAACCATGAGGGGTCGCAATAAATATGTTTTCTCTGATGGTATTGGGAAAATATCTCACCAATTTGCTGTGCAAGTGGCTAGAAAATGTGGTCTTACAATTTCAACCCCATCTGCATTTCAGATTCGATATGGTGGGTTCAAAGGTGTTGTGGCAGTGGATCCAACTTCATCAAAAAAATTATCATTGAGAAGCAGCATGCTCAAATACGAATCATCAAATACAAAACTAGATGTTTTAGCGTGGAGCAGGTATCAGCCTTGCTTTCTTAATCGCCAGATTATTACTCTTTTGTCTACTCTTGGAGTCAAGGATCATATTTTTGAAAGGAAGCAAAGAGAGGCGCTATGTCAACTGGATGCTATATTGACGGATCCTCTGGTGGCGCAGCATGCACTGGAGCTTATGTCTCCAGGAGAAAATATTAAGGTTCTTCTAGAAATGCTTATCTGTGGTTATGAGCCAGATGCGGAACCCTTTCTATCAATGATGCTTCGAACATTCTGTGCATCGAAGGTTCTTGACTTGCGTGCCAAAGCGAGGATCTTTGTGCCAGATGGAAGATCGATGATGGGATGTTTCGATGAAACAAGGACTTTGGAATATGGTCAGGTGTTTGTACAACTCTCTAGCGTTGGAAATTTGCAGATTGGAAGCCAAAGCATGCTAAAATCGAGCAGAAATGAGTCATCCCTCGACACCTCTATCTTTCAAGGAAAGTTGGTGGTTGCGAAAAACCCTTGCCTGCATCCTGGAGATGTCCGTGTCTTAGAGGCTGTTGATGTTCCATCTCTGCATCATATGGTTGACTGCATTGTTTTTCCTCAGAAAGGAAAGAGGTAAATTGTTTCCTTTTACTGCTGGTACTCATTTTCTAACTATGTATGTTCTTCTCATTCCCACCGAGTAACATTCTAGGCGGTTGAGTCTGGACTCATTTCTCTCTGTTTTTTTTTTCCTTTCACTTTTTATTGGCTCAAACCTCGGGTCTCAGCGAACCGTTTGCCCCTAAAAAATAAAGACAAAAAAACCTCAGCCAACCTTACCGTAGTGGGTTTATTGGGTAATTGTTATATTTTTGTAAAAGGATGGAGAGTGCACTAGTTTGTTCATAAAGATGCCAAGGTGGCGTTGACAATGTACAGAAATCTTCCTGAGAAGGATTTTGTCAAAGCTATCAAGAACTGAGTATTCAGCATGTGAATGAACTGAAAGACGTATCAGTATTTTCTTTGTTTGGTCATGTTTTTAATTATTTATAAAGATAGAAAAATTCTTGTAACTGGGGATTCGTACAAACAATATGTGGACTTCTGCACAAAAGATGTTGTACGAACAAACCCATATCATGAATCTTAGACAACCATTTGTAAGTAGATAAAATCATGATCACATTACCTCTCAACTCCATTTTTTCCCCTAGTTGGTCAACTGGCCTCTTTGGCTATAAGTAGAACTTGACATATTTCTTCAGTCGTGATTATTATTGTAGCTCTCTTGTTATTTACTTAATAGATGCCAAAAAGATTGATTTATCTGCACTCACTGGACTCTCTTACTTTTTCTTTTGATTTTAGATGGTAAGATTTCATAATTACGAGCAATCATGGAACAGATCTAGATTTAATTTCCCTAGTTGTTCATGCAAGTTCCTGCCCCGTTCCGGATAGCATTTACGCATAATCTACATGTTTTTCTGATATTTTGCTACTAACCTCCAGGCCACATCCAAATGAATGTTCGGGAAGTGATCTGGATGGAGATCTCTACTTTGTTTGTTGGGATCCTGATCTGGTTCCTTCTCATTTGTGCCCACCCATGGATTATACCCCAGCACCTACTGTAACTCTTGATCGTGATGTCATCATTGAGGTACTCATTGGCCATTAACAAACAGCTACACCTATTATCTCTGAAAGAACACGCATGCTTGCCCGTTAAATATTATCTTTGAGAGGACCACACTGATGGTAGTGTCTGCATTCATATTGTTCGAGTGATATGCTTATATGCAAAACATCTTACATGAGGCTGTTGAATGAGATCAATGACTTTTAAAGAACAGTTGCAATGTGCGGTTTTGTTTTACCCAGATATCGTATTGTTTTGACAAGCAATATGAATGAAAATTTTGATAAAAACCTGAGTTGAATGTCCTTACCTGTTATCAAATAGATACGCCGTCATTGCTGTAACTGGACCGTAATTATGTGGACTGAGGACATCTTCAATTTACGCAATTGGAAAGGAATACCTTGTCATGGCTTAGCAAATTGAACTTTTCAAATTTGTACGGACAGTTGTCATCTTTGGCATTGACATTCCATGTTTCTTCCCTTTCGGTTGTCCATCTTTTGGTTCTTCAAATATATTTGTAATCCTAATATACAATATGTAGAACGGAATAGGCCATGTTCTGGTACTTCTGAATGGAGAGTTTCTATGTGCAACCATGTAAGTCATCTATCAGGGAAACCAGTAGATGCACAAGTATCGGACATCACTAGATCCCCTCATAGTTTATGAAGGAATGAGATACTCGAAAGCTAGATCATAAGGATGGCACTGTTTAATTCAATTTATTGGGGAACTCATTTGGAAATGTTCGTTACAAAGCGGATATTTGAGCATCTAGTCTTTTTTATTAGCATAGAGCAATTCTTGTTGCTCAGCATGTGAACCTTATAGTTCTTTAACTTGTTAAAGAAAGTGCCCTTCTGTGCCGTAGCGCGCCTCTTCAAAATTTACTTGCAAACTCTTTCTCATTCGACATCTTTATATTAGTTTGATGAGGAACTTCATTTATTAGCGTCTTCTGCTGATTTTTTTTTTGCTAAAATAGCGGCTTCTGCTGATATATACCTTCTCCATGGTTAACTAATAAACTCATGCCATCCCAATTTAATGTTTTACCATCCAGGAGGTCGTGGAGTACTTCGCAGATTACATGGTCAATAATAGTTTAGGGGTTATTGCAAACTCTCACACAGTGTTCGCAGATAAGGAGCCAATGAAGGCGTACAGCAAATCATGTACTGAGCTTGCAAAGTTATTTTCCATAGCAGTTGACTTCCCAAAAACTGGTGTTCCCGCTAAAATTCCGGGTCATCTGCGAGTTCGAGAATACCCAGACTTCATGGAAAAGTCTGATAAGTGCACCTACGAGTCTCAGCATGTGATTGGGAAGCTTTACAGAGAGGTCAAGGGGATCGCACCATATACCAATTCCATAAATTCCTTCACGAGGGAAGTTGCTCTGAGCTCCTACGATTGTAAATTGGAAGTACAAGGCTTTGAGGTCTATGTCACGGAAGCCTTTCACTACAAACTTGAGTATGACTGCAAATTGAGGAGCTTGATGCATTATTATGACATCAAAACCGAGGCTGAAATGATGAGTGGGAATATCCTGACGAAGTCGAAATATTTTGATAAAAAAAGAGACCTGGAAGGTATAAACTCTGCTGTGAGGTCCTTGAGAAAGGAAGCCAGGTCATGGTTCAATGGCATGGAGTCAGGATCAGCTTCTGGCGGTGTTAATATATATGCAAAGGCATCAGCTTGGTATCATGTCACCTACCACCCGGAATTCTGGGGCCGCTATAAGGAGGAGGCTCACGAAGATCATTTCTTAAGTTTTCCTTGGTGTGTTTATGACGAGCTCCTTCACATTAAAAGAGAGAGAGCTTCTATAGAGAGGTTAGCACAAATCAGCATTTGACTGCAGATTCTGAGTTAAATTCTCTGAAGCGTTCAAGTATAACTTAGGTGTATGTCTTCTTTGTGAAGACAAATAATTTGCATTAGTTGTCGTGTAAGTTCCACGGACATGTTCGTATGGCATATGTCGATCCGTAACTATTTTGGTACTGTTGTATATTGCTTTTATGTGTGAATATATATAAGGAACTACTTTTTATCTCAGTGTCATAGTTATCCTGGCAGACGATCCAATCTCGGTGCTAGTCTATTCAATGAAATGGCATGCAAGTCGCCATATTCTTCCATGTCAAAGTTCTCTGTCCCCCCTTTGGATTTCTTTACGAGAATTCTTTGAGATATTCATTGTTTATTTCTTTAGTTTCTCTCTAGGACTGCAGGATAGGTTTTGAATCTCTTGTGAAGCATTCCATAAGGCACTCATTGACTCTAACAAGCGATTGATATTGAAATGGAAATGCTGACATTGAAATCACCACGAAAGATCACTTGATCTATATATAACAGAGTAATTTAGGTACTAGCGACTTTATTCTAGTTAATCGAATTTTAGGGCAGTAGAGTCATCTTCAAAGGATGCATCAGTGGCGTTTGAGAACAACAAACATAAGAGTCCCTTCCTTGTAGCACGATTCCAGTAGGTGGCTGAACTCCCGAGTCTTTTCCACAAGACGTCGAAAGAGTTCGTCAACAATCTTGCTTCCAAAGTGTTTGCTGATAATCCCCTCCAAGCCTGCTCTTAGGTGTATCACAATCTCCTGTGCGTTGACTCCACCTTCATACCTCGTTTGGGTGTTGAGCAACTCCATCTTCTCTATGTGAAAACTACCGTCCATTTCGACTAGCCGTGCAATCTCTGCTGGAGATGCAGGATACAGTGGCAAGTTGAAGCAATCCACTTGCTCTTCACTTATTATTCCCTGCAGAATTTGTGGCTTTCCGTCAGTTCAATGAAGTTAAGAGTATATGCGATCTCATGTCGATCTCTCTGATAAATGACTTGGTCAGGGGTGTGGTTTTTTCTTATCATCATCATCATCATCATCATCATCATGGAAGCTAATTTTAGTGGCCTAAGAGGAAAGCTGTGAAATTTCTGGATTAGAAGAATTGCGAAAACATTATTTAAAGAAAGGTCATTATAATAGTCACATATTCTAAGAAACTTGAGTAGAGCTTCAGTTCTTGGATGTGAGACTACCTCGGTGGTATTATTCGTCGATGTATATAGATTTGCATATGAAGGAAACCTTTTCTTGAGTTGAATAAACTTCATATCCCAGATAGACTTATTTTTTTCTTCTTCAGTCTAATAAAGGATTTAAGTAAAAGGATGACAAGAATTGGAAATATTGTGATAACCATACCTCTTTGGCCATATCCATGAGACTCAATCCAATAAGATCGTACATTACACACACCGGTATCTTTGAATATGAAACCTCATCTGGTTTTCCAGGCATGGTTAGGACTACTATCCCTCCTGAGGTGATCTCTTCTGCTCTATATTTCAGAAACGCTTCCATATCCATGTGGAACTGACCTGCATATGCCTCACACACCGCCTCGGAAGCGTTTGTGCAGTGAATTTTCCCCTTATTCCATGCCGGAGAGTTTCTATTTGATATCGCGTCCGGAATTCTCGAAAGCCACTGGAGTGCGTACTGCGAGTGCACAAAGTGGAGGGAAGACTCCGGGAACAGCCGCCCATGAAATGACCCCGGAACCCCTGCAGCATAGTAGGGTTTTTCTGGAGGGAGGGACTTGAAGAGGGTGTTGAAGTCATTGGCGGCATGATCGTTGAAGAAAACCTGGAATTCGGGCATCCCGGTAAGGAGGCCTTTGGATGTGAGATTCTTTTGGATGGCATGCACGGCGTTTTGCATGGCAATGAAGGTGTTTGGTCCGACCGAGCAGCCGAGGTCGGCAAGGCGAATCGTGGCAGGACTGGAGGAGACATAAGTTTCTATGTCGAGCTTCTCAATGATTGCCTCATCAATCATGGCCTTCAGAACATTTGTGGTCGCTCTCTGTAAAATGGTATTCAAATTCGTGAGGATGACAGTCCATGCCCTAGTGGAAAGGTCAAGCAAGACTCGTAGAATCAGCCCTTTCTCTCGGATAAAAAAATAAGGAGACTGACTTATGAAACGTGAAATCAGCATGAATGTTAGCATCTATCAGGATATTTCCGAGGCAAGTTACGCAGCAGTAGGGAGTTATACAGTGAGAGTAAGCGTCGGATTTATAGAGAAGTCTTGAACTACTGCAGTACAGGTTTATGGTTTCTGCATCTGTTATTTACTTGCGCATTTGCTTAGCGACGATATTGTTAAAATGCATGAAAATCAAAACCTGGAAGTAAGAGTTCTTCCTGTAGCTGTAAGCCCCCTCCCCGCTGTTCATCGGGTATGTTGCCGGCACTTGGGTTTCGACGTTGCTCATCTCTCTCTCTCTCTCTCTCTCTCTCTCTCTCTCTCTCTCTCTCTCTCTCTCTCTCTGTGAACTTCTCGATGCCCCTCAAGTGCTGGACAATTTGAACTCAGCTGTTATTTTGCTCAGTGGTTCAGCACCTCTTTATATCAAGTGAAACCTTGTTGGTGGTCTGAATTTTCAAGTGACTTGTCGGAGCCATCATCAGCAAAAGCGAAAATTCAATGCACAACTAACGTCCGTCTTGATCCTCCATTTCGGCTCAATATCCTGGTGGTTTAATAAAGCAGCCAGAGCAGACTTTTTGCGCATGCGACAGCGCAGCATTCAACCTCGACTCGATCGTGTGTACCTTGGACTTTTCAAGGAGTGACTATTCCAAATTTTTTGGGCAAATCGCGTGTCCCCCGCTTAGCATTTCCTCGAAATTAGGCTGGATTTCCATCCAAGTCAAAAACCAATTGCAAAAAGTCACAAGTTAGTGCCATGAGTAATTATAATCGAAGTTCAGTTAGTTAACTGCCAAACCCAAAACTTTCCTCTAAAAGAAAGTTAAAAAACTGCATATTTGAAGCTCTTCATGCCTTCATCTTCTGCAAGCTATCTTTAGAGGGCATAGTTTAGATATGCTCCTCTAACTTAGGCTGTTTGTGAAATTTGAGTTTCTAACTCTTTCTTTAAAATATTCGAGTATCCGCCGTTGATTGATGACCAACTAGCCTTCCATCGGTTGTGGCCGTCTTCGCATTCCATCTCTGTACTTCATATTTATAGAGTTACGCAAATCTATGGCTCTTGAGGATGAGGACCCTATGAGCGACATTAGAGGTCATACTTGGTACCTCTTGTTTTGTTAGGTGAAAGGTCCAAACAACTTATCAGTGCGCTGGTCCACGAGATGTTTTGGTACTCTAATAATCTGATTATCGGAAGAGACAAGATAATCTTATTATGAGGTCTTCCAAAAATTCTATTCCCCTGCTACTCCCATCGTAGATAACCTGATCTGTAAATGTGTGACCAAACACAACAATCCTTTTCACGGGAATGAATTTCTCGTTGCATGGGAACCAAGCAAGGCATAAGTTCTTTCTTCATAAACACGATGCAGTGACTGAGCGATTTTCTCAATAAATAATAGGATTTTTTTATTAATAGAACTAGGAAATAGGATGTTTATTAATAAAAACTAGAAAGTAGACATAAAGCACAACCTTATACTACAAGACAAACTTCTTTTACAAGCAAATCTTGAGTAGGGAACAAAGGACAAGCGGAGGGAATCAAATCAACATTCGTAAGCGCACAAGCGACTACGCACCGATCATTATCAATACTTTATCTGCGTTTCAAAACGATGAACAGTTGAATGCCTTCTCTGTAGCATGATTCAAGCTCTTGAGAACACTCGTCGGACAACTTCCGAACCAATCGATCAAACAACTCGTCGATCTTGTCCTTGTCAAAGTGCTTCATAAGCATGCCTTCCATTGCTGCCCTCACGTGCACCATCCATCCACGGACGTTGATGGGGCCGTTCGTGTTGGGCAATGGGTTTGTTAGCTCCATTGCTTCGATGTTGAAATCGCCATTTTTGGTCACTAGCATGGTCATCTCTTCCGGCGAGGGTGCATACAGTGGCAAGTTGAAGGAATCCAGTTCATCTTCGCTGATTAGACCCTGTAAAATGTAGGTAAAAAAGCAAAGGCGGTTTGCGTTTAAGTACTTGAAAAGGTATTGACGGCGAGGAGATTCGTATTTAGAAAGTCATTAATGCCTTGCTCTTGAGCATTCGATCACTGCACAAATGAGGAAAATTGTCCGAGGAGACTACTATAATGGAATATTGAGCACACTTTGCAACAACAAGCAAGATAAAAAGTGGCGATGAGAAAACATGTCAAAAGATTTTCGATATAACCTTGGGATGTCAAGTGATGAAAATTACTTTCTTATCGATAAAAAGCCAACCAATTTTATAATGTTCGATCTTCATAGCTCCCTGTGTAGGAGTATCGTCACGTGATATTATGAGAAAACCAAAAATAACCTTGATATAATGGTAGAAGACATAAACGACAAGTAACTTTTCTTGTATGAAGATGAATAGTTTTTCTTTTATCTCTTCCCCTGGCCCTTCTGTCTTGAGTTTTGGTTATCATGAAAAGGGCACTTTAAGGTACTTACTTCATTCACCATGTCCATGAGACTAGAAGCCATGACATCATACATAAGCCCGCTTGGAACTCGCCGTTGAGGCATACCATGCGGAATTCCCGGCATGATAATCACCACCATCCCTCCGCTCACTACCTCCTCAGCCCTAGTCCTCAAAAACTGCTCCGTATCCTTCGCAAACTGCTCTGCATAAGCTGCAACCACTTCTTCCGGGGCACTAGTGTAGTGAACCCTACCTTTGTTCCACGCTGCCGACTCCCGGTCCGTCACTTTCTCAGGGACCTCGGAGAGCCAGTGCAGCGCGATGGAGGAGTACACGAAGTGAAGGGACGCGTTGGGGAACAACCTGGTGTGGAAAGAGCCGGGAACTCCTGCTGCAAAGTAGGGTTTATCAGAAGGGAGGGTTGCGAAGAGGGTGTTGAAGTCGTTCGAGATCTTGTCGTTGAAGAACACGTGGAACTCGGGCAGGGTTCGAGAATTAGGGCATTGAGATTTGAACTTCCTTTGCAAGATTTGTACGATGTTTTGCATCGCTGCAATCGTGTTGGGACCGGTGGCACATCCCAGGTCGGCGAGTCGGATTGCATGGGAAGGAGAGGATAGACTTGCAATGTCGAATTTCTCTGTTATAGCGGCATCAAGCTTTTCGCTCAAGACATTGGTGGCCAGTCTCTGAGAATCAACTCAACAAACATTAGTCATTCTCTTCTCCATCTTAAAGTCGCAATTAAGATACGAAGTATTTTAGTACAGTTTTATCTGGTGTGAAGAAGTATAGTGACCGGTTCTTCTTCACCACTTTTCCCTAGTTTGAGATTATTTCGAAATGATGGTGTTAGAGCTCGTGCTTATTCATGCAACAAATGGAGATTGTTAACAGTGACGAATCATAAAAAGAAAAAGGAAAGGATGAAGAGACCTGGTATTGGGAATTTTTGCTGTAGCTGTACCTTCCATCTCCTCCATTTGTTGCAGGAGAATCCACTTCAGGGTTTCTGTTGCCCATCTCTCTCTCTCTCTCTCTCTCTCTCTCTCTCTCTCTCTCTCTCTCTCTCTCTCTCTCTCTCTCTCTCTCTCTCTCTCTCTCTCTCTCTCTCTCTCTCTCTCTCTCTCTCTCTCTCTCTCTGTGTTTAGATGGGTGGACGGTTGGAAATTATATAAATGAAACTAATCCAAGTAAACTATTGTAGCTAAATTATGGTGTCCATGAAACCATGCAGAAAAAGTAATCTCAAGGAATTTGTCTGAGCACTGGTAAAATTATTAAGAATATTCCAAAAGGAAAGCTTTAGTTTTTAAGATATCGAATTACGCATACAATGAGAATCAAGATAGATCGATGTTTTGGAAACCAAGCAGGATCTTTATTTGGTTTTATAATAAGTGCCCATTGAGTTCTAAACTAGTTAACAAAATCCTTAGAAAATGATATCGCGTTTTATGTACACGAACCTTCTTTAGATAAATCATGTAGTCGTTACGTTCCAAATTTCACTTAGCAATTCTTATGTGATGGCACCCAATCAAGTCGAGTCAAAATGGCCATACCTGCGAACTTTAAAAGCACCTGGATAAATAAATTACAACTGGCTAGAAAAAGAATTATGTAAAAATAATGGCACTTAATCGAATTAATACATCATCAAAAAAATTGATTTGTAAAGAATCTTTTGAGAGATGGACAACAACTATAAAGGTCAAAGAAAGATCTCTTTCATGCCCTAGTATTATCTCCATGTATTTAAACTATTTCCTACGCAACTTGTGACCTATTTTGGACCACCCTTGCGTGGGTGTATCGTAATAATGCACCACTTTTCTAATTCATTTTCGTTGGGGATAAAATAATGATAAGGATTGTAAATTCGTGATATGGAAATGATCAACGACAATGAAGATTGCATTAAAAAAAATCAATTGTACGATGTGAAGGTTATATAATTTTTCTAAAAAGTCTTGATGGCGACGATAATTTTTTTACTAATTAGATCATATCATATCATATCATCCTTAATTGTCCTTTACTTGGCGATGTGTCAAGGTAACTATATGAGACAAAATTAATCAGAAGATGTCTATGTTCTAACAATAGTTGAGGAGGGGACCGATTAGTCCCATCTAATGAGCAATGTGTAATTATTGTGGACCTTAATTGTCCTTTATTTGAAACTATGGTAATTATGAGTGACAAATTAATCACAAAGATGTCTGAATCCTAACGATAGCTGAAGAGGGGACCAATTAGCCCCATCTAATAAGCAATGTGCGCATTGCATGGACCTTGATTGTCCTTTACTTGGGCTGAGTCAATTAATCACGAGTGACACAAATTAATCACATGATGTCTAAGTTCTAACAAAAGTTGGAGAGGGGACCAATTAGTCCCATCTAACGAACAATGTGTACATTGCATGGACCACGTCGTTTTAAACTTATACCAACTCTCTTGTTCTCTAAGTTTAGTAGTTGATTTTTTTCTTGAAAAAAATTACCCAAGTTGTCATTAGATTATATAGGAAACTATGCCTTGAGTTTGACTATATAAGATATAATATTTTCAATTGGATCGAATCAATCTCATGAAGGTCATGCATGCTACCATGCTCAAATTATTCCAATTAGTGATCAGAAAGAATCTCCATCGACAGCCTTTGTCTCACTAGAATTGTTCAAGAAAATTTCATTTACGTCAATATTTTGAGATTCAAAGACCGGAGTTAAGGTTTAACTTTAAACTCAACCTTTTTTCTGGATTTTAAGGCAAAACTGAGTTTTCCTTTAGATCGATTCTCGTGAACAAGTCATATAAGCCATAGCGAAGAAAGCCCCACGGTTTTAAGATTTGATTCCAGTTTTCGAAACGTTTACAACTTGATTTCATTCTGTATAAACTTTGAAAAGTTTCAGTATTATTTTCCGAGTGAAAAATAAATTACTGAGCTTACCCGCTCGTGGACAACTCCTTGTTTTTTGTCCCTCTATGACCTTTTCTTATGACATTATTGAAAGAAAAGGGACAAGAATTTAGGCGGAGGGAGAATACTCCTTACCCATGTATAAGCGACTTATCTTATCACAGTTTCGTAAAAGTACAATCACCATCGGCACGATATCATCATGTTTGAAACGGTTTTTTTGCTAGATCAATCATGCTAAAATATATTCTCAACGAAATAGATACGAACGCATGTCCAATTTTACTTCTTAAGAGAATATCAAATCACATATCAAACGTCCACAAGCAACGATCCAAATTTTCCTACTTCTGTTAACAGCAGAAAATACTCAATTTGGATAATCAATCTCTTTCCTTCTTCATGAGATGAATCAATCCCACTTTCAGTCTCCTAAATCATAATTTTCGTGCAATTTTGCCCCTCAAACAATTTCTTACACAACCAGGTCCTCCAACTCTCTCGATTTACGAAAAACATTTGTCCCTCAAAGGCCACCGCGGCGTCACATCGAACATTGTGCGACATCGCCGGCGCACGAAGAGAATACTTCAAACGCGCCTCAAGATGACGTACAATTGAATCTTGTCCCTGTAGCTGGATTCCACCTCTCGAGAGCGCTCCACGAGCTTCCTCACCAACCGATCGAATATCTCGTCCACGATCGCCTGGTCGCCGAAATGGGCGGCGAAGAGCGGCTCCATGGCGGCCCTCACGTGGTTGGTCCACTCTTGCATGTTGACCGGGCCGGTCAACCACGGCGACGGGTTGGCCAAGTCCATGGCCTCGATGCTGAAGCTCCCGTCCCTCTCCACCATCTCCCTCATCTCCTGCGGCGACGCCGCGTATATGGGCAAGTTGAACGAGTCCACTTGTCCCTCCGTTATCACTCCCTGCAGATTAATCTGTAAGTTCCCATCATCTGATGCATCACAGCGACGAGTCTCGACACAGGTCTCACCAGGAACATGAAGGAGTATACAAACATCTCAATCATTAGGATGCAATTAGGACAGTCTGAAGTTTACCTCTCGTGCCATCTCCATTAGGGCTAACCCAAGAAGATCATACATCACCCCAGCTGGGAGCATAGCGTGCGGCATCCCGTGAGGGATGCCGGTCATGATGATCACCATCAGCCCTCCCGCCACGACCTCTTCCGCCCTCGCCCTCAGGAAATCCTCCATGTCCGCCGCGAACTGGGCTCTATACGCGCCCACCACCTGGTCCGGCGCGCTCGTGTAGTGGACCCTCCCCTTGTTCCATGCGGCAGAGACCTCGTGGAGGAGCTCCTCCGGAACCCTAGAGAGCCAGTGGAGCGAGACCGCGCAGTGGACAAAGTGGAGGGATGACTCAGGGAACAGCCTTCCGTGGAACGAGCCCGGGACGCCGGCTGCGAAGTACCGCCTCTCCCTGGGGAGCGAGCGGAAGAGGGTGTTGAAGTCGTTTTCCGGGAGGTCGTTGAAGAAGACGGAGAATTTGGGGTTTTCGCGACCAGGGCATTGGGTTCGGTACTTCCTCTCGATGAAGTCGAGGATGTTTTGCATGGACAAGAAGGTGTTCGGTCCAACGGCGCACCCCAGATCGGCGATATTGATTGTGCTCGCCGTCGATGATAGTCTCTCCACGTCCATTTTGTGGATTATCGCTTCTTCAATTTTGTCCTTCACAACGTTTACTGCCAGTCCCTAAAGCTCAGGACGAATGAGAAATAATTTAACCGTATATCACCCAATATTTTTCAATCAATTGCCGTTGCCAATATCAAGCATGAATACCAGACAAAAGAAAATAAACGAGAAATCCTATAATAAAAATTGATATGACCCTCGTTTGCCTCGAACATAGGTAGCATTGTTGGCTTTTGACCAACTCAATCCCTAGGTATAGAATTTCTTAGCCTGTTAGAACACCCCAAAGCAACCCAACAATATCAATGGAAATTAGGTCACACGTTAGAAAATTTTAACTTAAATTACATGAAACTAAGTGGTCATAATATGTTCAGGTCACAGTCCTTGCTCGTACTAGACAACATTTAAAATCTGGGTGTTGAAATATCTTTAGATTATCAAAAGTATCTTTAAAATTGGGGTCCAATCCAAGGATAGTAACTCAAAAATGAAAGTTAAGAGATTAGAATCACAAAAAACAAGGACACTTAAGGACTAAAAACCTTAGTTTTCAATTATCTTACTTCTATTTAAGCATTTATATAGTTGAGCGAGTTTACTATTTGTGAATCTTTTGTTGTTGTGATTTATGGGGTCCAATTTCTTGTTTGAAATACTTAGTGGTGTCAGAACCAAAATAAAAAATAAAAAATAATAAGGAATTTATATACTCAAAAAAAATATGTAGGTATAAACAATATTCTTTTAAAATTAAGTGGGGTCAATCTACCTTACTCAACATTATATGGCACTGCCACAAGCGCCAGTTCTCTGAATTTTCTTTTAGTCGATTCTATCTACGCGAAATAGGTCACATCGATCATATAATATATTATCACTTAGATACTTATTTTCTTTTTCTAAAGGTCATATGTTTCTATATTTTTCTCTAACTATATATGTGATTGATGGATTATAAATATATTTTAATATCTTCCTCCTATTGAAAATGGAGGAAAGTATTGTCACGCGATGTGATGATATGGAGTATAAAACAATATGTAAGAGCATCTATCGAGTTGATGCTCAACGATCCCCACTTAGACTTACATGCATGCATGCATGATCTTCAACACATTGACTCTAAAAGAATAAATGAAAGTGGGGTTTAAAAGCTAGAACAAGTGCGATTGCATGTTATGCCACGATGGGATTGAAGTTGACGAGTAAAAGCTTCGATTTGATGCCGCGACAAGCGGATTCCATTTTACATCGAATTGATTGGCGAGACCCAACTCATGTTTGATTCCAGGCGAGGTTGACCCGCTGGTCCCGATATATTTGTCAACTATTGGTCCCGTGACGTGATTAGGTTTTAGCTCTTGCTCGTGTGTGGTCCATATACCCTCTTTTTAATTTAGATTTAAATGAGTTTATTATTGTTATATTTTCT